CACTTCAATTTATTTTCCTTTTTCTTGGAGTCGAATAAAAGTAATCTAAGTGGTAAAGTTATGCAATTTGGCAATCAAAACATTAGCAAGAGATGCAACACGTTTAACTAGTGTGCTAATTAGGAGTATCAATCATCAAATTATAGTACAAAGTCTAGTGGGTTCAGCCCAACGGACTAGTCACTTCAATTTATTTTCCTTTTTCTTGGAGTCGAATAAAAGTAATCTAAGTGGTAAAGTTATGCAATTTGGCAATCAAAACATTAGCAAGAGATGCAACACGTTTAACTAGTGTGCTAATTAGGAGTATCAATCATCAAATTATAGTACAAAGTCTAGTGGGTTCAGCCCAACGGACTAGTCCAACAAATTAATACTGAGCCAAATAGGATGACTCATGCTAGCTCCATTGAAAATATAGAATCAACACGAAGCGGTGAAAATAGGTAGAAAGTAATGTTTGTTAGTGACTTGGGCTGTGATCCAACTTTAATTATTTAATAGTCTATTATCTGTGACGGAGCAATGAATTTGGGTTGACATCTTTTGTAATTTTTTACGTAGTATATGTACGCATCAATTTCTTATATGTACTAATTAATGAGGTTTGATGCATAGCCAGGTTTACGGCAAAAGAAGACAATTGCTTAGGGGTTCTATTAGAACCATCCTATAGGTTTGGGGTGGTGGTTAATTTGCACCATAGATAGATCAAAGAGGTAAAATTTATGAACTAACCTGATCTAGATCCTACTCAATTAGATGGTAAATAAAGAAACTTCAGTTACCGTCATATAGTATAGTAAGCGGTACATCATCCGCGGTGTAAATGTGTAATTATGACTCGTTAAAAATAAGATTAGTAAGCGGTACATCATCCGCGATTAACCCTAACAAATGCAATTCCCACACGCACATGTTGTTTAATTAATTGGGGTACCCCACCCATTCATTCCATCATCAATCATAACTTTTTTTCTTACAGTCTCGAAAACTCCAAAGGAGATCCGAGTTCCACAACAAACATCACAAATTCCTTTATATTTACCCTCATTAAGTCCCTTTTTATCATCACCATCATCAGCAGACATCAACACACATAAATATTAGACTTCTGAAAGCATCAGCTTCTTCCTTTTGCATCGGAAATGTCCACCCAAGTTATTGCACCCGAGCATGTCTGCTATGTCCACTGCAATTTCTGCAACACTATCCTTGCGGTATTCTCTCTCTCTCTCTCTCTCTCTCTCTCTCTCTCTCTCTCTCTCTTTGAGGGTTTTTTTCCCCCTTTCCTTTTTCATTAAACGAAGGTCATAGCTAGCTTGGAATCCCGCACGAGCCTTTGGATTTTAAGTTGACATAAAAAAGTACTTGTGATGGCTGCAAATTTTGCTTGTGGACATGAGAAACTTGTAAATATGCAGATTTATTTTCCCCTCGCTCATCTTCTTTCTCCCTCTCCCTCTGAAGAATTCTAATAGCAAGTTGGTCTTTCTGAACGATCCAGGAATTTAAGAGGAAAAAAACTCTTTACATGTTTACATGCATGACTGAATATTTTGAAATGTTTTGAATCAATTAATTTTCTTCTTTGGTTCCAGGTTTAGGTTGAGTTATCTTATATATATCATCACATGGAAGACTTTGACTAATTATGTCTTACAAGAGACCTGTAGATCAAATATCCCTAAATTAATTTTAACCTTACATGAGAAACTGAATTCTTTTTTCTTTTTCTTTTTTGCTTTCTTTAATTTTATTTTCTTTATTCGCTGTTTTGGAATCCAAGAAACTTTTAAGTTTGAAACAAATAGTTAGTTTACATATTCAATATGGTATATTTACATTCAAATCATACACTTTTTTTTTCATTCATCAATCTGAGCTCAACTAAAAATCATGGAAAGGAAGCCTAAGAGCACATGCATGTTGTAGAATAATAATTAAATCCATATGGCAAGTCATTTTGGGTAAAGCTCATCATTGATGGTATCATGAAATGTTCTTGTCATTACAAGTGTTTATTCTAGTCTATATTAGGTTTTTCAAGAAAAAAAAATTCCTATCATGTTAAAAGGCTCTTGATAAGTTGTGTAGATTAGGAGCATTTCTCCTTCTTTTTACGTCATCTTAACTGTGTTTCATTATCTTCTCTCGGATGAAACTGGAAGACAGTCTCATACCTTTTTTTCCCCTTGAAATTAAATATTTTAGGTATAGATTTCGAACAATTAATTCTTGGTACCAAAATGATGAACATGAGAAGGCTATAGGAAAATTGTTTTTAAAAATAAATGGTCTGTTCTTTGAGATATTGACCACAGTATTATGAAAATTACAGTCCGTAATATAGCACAAAATAGAATTTAGATTCAGATCTTTAGCTAAAGCTCTGAGCTATATATGCTATACGGTGCACTTGCAATCATGCATCGCTTTCTTAATATTGCTAATTTTTTTCATCATAACCTGATATACTAGCTATAAAGCTTCTACATTTGGTCACTAATCTCCCATCTACATTTGGTCACTAATCTCCCATTAGCAAGGCTTTTTCTTACAGTAATCAGGTACACTTCCTTCCCCCTTTTTATTTGGTCATATCTGTTCCTCTCTTTCTCCTGCTCTTTTTCTCTCTCATTGAGAATTGTGGAAGTGTGTCATGTCATTTTCATCCCTCTTTTCTTGATCCAGATTTAAATCCCCCAAAAAAATTAAATAAATAAATGAATATCTGAGAGACTGAAATGACACAGAAGAACTCCTACTGGAATAGAGAAAATTGATGGGGTTCTCAAATTTTTCTGTTGCAATAGGCAGTGTGAACTATCCTCATTTGCAAACAATGAGGCCTAGTCCTACTGACATTGAAGTCATAAATGCAAACAAATAGAAAGTAATCATAAAATATTAATAGATAAAGAAATCATATATAGATCTTTTTTTTCTTTCTATTTTTCCATTCATTTTTTTTTCTACCATTGGTTTGGGATAGAAACAAAGAAAAAAGGCAATCAAATTAAGTCGACTTAATTTGCATTTCATATTTATTTTATGTGAAAATTTCCAGGTTTTCATATTGTTTTTTCTTTTTTTTCCCCTTTTTTTTTGGAGAAAGTTTGTATAAACTACAAGTCAAGGTAAATGCTTTAAGTCATCATTATTTTCATATATATGAATTCTACTTATCTCATTCAGGTCAATGTCCCCAGCAACAATTTGTTCAGCAGTATTGTGACAGTAAGGTGTGGACATTGCGCTAATCTTCTGTCAGTGAATATGGGAGCTTTGGTTCAAGCTCTTCCCCTGCAGGACTTTCAGGTTCATATACGTTTATCCATATATATATTCTCATTTTATAGAATTATTAATTAAAAAATTGTAAGTTGCCGATCTCATGTGCATCCATCTAAGCTAATGTGATATCATGCATGGAGTTAGTAAGCAGAAGGGTGTGTTACTCTCACATATTATTTGCTTATTGTTGGTTTCATATAATTGTTATAGCTAGCAATGCATAGTATGGTTTTTTTAAAAGATTAACTTTGGGTTATTATGACTAATAATCATTTGGGGAAAAAATAGTGATCACATAGTTAACCACAGAAATTTAATATTTTTTGAAGGCCTAAATTTAAAAATGTGGAGAAAATTAGGTTATAGCATTTAAGTATATAAGATGAATAATCAAATTTTCTGAGGTAATTATTAAACTTCAAATTTGTTACAGGTAAAGTATCTTGCACTATACAGATTAATCGAAGATCAAATAAAAGTGTATATGCATATTTGCAAGTACATATTATCAATCAGCAATAAAGGTCTTTTCATCAAATTAAATATATACATTCTTTTTTTTTTTTTTGGTCAATGAAAAATTTTATTCACTAACCAAGTATGAACGTTTTTGTACATCTGATACTCAGTGATAAACTGAGATTACAAAAAAAGAATACTAAATGAATATCTTATAAAAGACAGATATTCAAAAAACAGAAATCCTCAAAACAGTATCACTACTTGCAATTGAAGGGGTGTTGAGGATGAAAGTGAGGACATCAAACTTGATATCTCTAACCAGATCATCAGCACTTCTAGACCTCTGCTGAAATAACCTCAAATTCCGCTCTCTCCAAATGAAATATATAGAAGTAGTCAAAGCCATTTTCTTAAGTTGTTGCTTTAATCCCCTACCCTTCAACATGTAAGCATACCAATTGACAATTAGAGACCAATTGCAAGATCTCCAATTAAAACCCAGCCAGCTCATGATACAGTTCCAGACATTAGCCGAAAATACACATTCAAAGAACAGGTGGTTCCTTGTTTCACTGGCGGCACTTGAGCAGAGAATACAGGAGAAAATATATACATTCTCTATTATAATAACAAAATTTTCTTTTGTGGTGGGAAAGAAATTGCAGAACCACCAAGTAGCATCTCAAGACAGTCATGGAGATAATGGTTCTTCTTCAAGATGTAATAGGCCATCAATCATGTTGACGCAAGAGCATGATCAACAACAATTGTTACCCATTCGCCGTAAGATTAACTTTTACTATCTTTCTTGTTACTTAAATTTTCCTATAATACATAAAACACACAAAAGCATATGAAGATAAGCTAGCATGGATGCCCTTATTTAAAAGGGGAACCCATGCATGAATGCATGGCAAAAGAAAGCCCTTCTATCATCTAATGGAATAGGAAGAAATTTCCTTTTATTGTAGTCCAAAGTCATAATATACCTATACCGAATGAATAACCTATACAGAGGATAAAAAATTTGCATGTTATTAGTACTTCGATCATTTCTTCAAGTGATTGTAAATAAATGCTACTCAATATTAGAGGTCCATGTGAATCACAACTGTCACAAGACCAATGTTTCTCTAAGACAATCACTGAAACAATGAATTGTTATGCTAGATAATTAATTGTCCATTTACAAAGGAAAGATGAAAATATCCGATCAAAAATTTAAAGGCTTTGTAGGAGAATCTTCTGTCTTAATTTTTCACTATACTACAATGCAATTTCTACATCACTGGAAACCATAATTTTTCAAAATTATCGGTAACTGGATGTTGACATCTCGTTGCTAGTGATGAACATCTCCTGCAACTTTGCACATGATTGATTTTAGACAATTTCTTTAATTTATCAAGTTCTTTACATGTACTAGATTACAATTAAATTTTAACAAGAAGAAATACTTATTTGACTTTTGTTATCAACATAGGAGTTCTATAAAAATTAAAATTTTCATGATACTTATCTATAGTTCTTTTATACAAAATAATATAGAAAATTCATCATAGTTTTATGCAATTTACTGGCCTTTTAACTAGTAACATTAGTTTTTCAATTTCTTGGAAATGAAATGGTTTTGAATAACAAAAGAAGTAACAACTATAGATAAATATAGGTATTTGAAGCAGAAGGTGTCTCATGACTTCTAATTAGTTTAAATCTTGAGGATGATGAGGAACGGTAAATATGATATTTTAGAGTCTTCACAAGGGAAATTTTCAAAATGGATCTGACTCTCCTTCGACATAGACAAACAATGTTACAAAAAAAGGTAATACAGGAGACATACAAATTAACTTTTATATTTAAACATAAAGTATATATTCACTAATATTTATGATGGATAATGTGAAAGTGCAATGCCAATTAACTAGTGAGGAGAAATTCAGAGTTAATGAAATAGAAAATTGACGAAAAGCATAAAATTGGACGAAACAAATCTATCTGGTACCATATTGAATTTCCTTTATTTTCCACTTTAACCTTTTTACTTTCTTTTCTTCTTCACCCAGCTCCTGAGAAGAGACAACGTGTTCCTTCAGCTTATAACAGATTTATCAAGTAAGTTATAAAATATCATATGTATACGTTAATATTGGTTATTTCATAAATTTATTTATTTTTTTCAATTTATTCACATTGAAGATATTGCTTCTTTCAAAAATATTTATAATATGTTTCCCTTTTTTCTGCAGGGAAGAAATTCAAAGGATTAAGGCCAATAATCCAGACATCAGTCATAGGGAAGCATTCAGTGCTGCCGCAAAGAATGTAAGTACAAACATGGTAGTGTGGAAATATTCACACGTAAAGAGAATCGGAGAGCTATAATCAAATCTTTTGTTAATAAATTGAAATTTGGGCTTCACTAGTATTTAACATCACAAATATAGCTAACTAATATCTCTATAATTGTTCTATGTTATAGTTAATTAGGGATGATCAAGTATATATGTTAAGGACATATCACATAGGATCAGGTTTTATACCTTATTTCATTGTTTGAGATGTGTAATATCTAGTCCATGTGCATCACAAGTTAAACATCTTCAAATTCTCTGTACCACTCATCTCTTGGTACTCATCAATTAGCTAAATTGATGAAAATAATGAATTTTATCATGATAACGCTCATCTTTTACACGTAGAAAGAAATTAATTATATTATTTATAGTTGAAATGCAAAAGAAAGTACACCTCTAGGAGACTGGCAATTTTTGGTTTTTTCTGAATATAAGCCACTAACAGTTACTTAATTTGACATTAGTCCCTCCAAGCTTGAAGAACTAGATGGAACAAGCCTATTGCGAGTGCTTACATTTATGTGTGTTTGATTTCATAATTCCATTTTATCAGCCAAAAATAAAATGCATGAGACCCACTTACTCTAATCCATTTAGAAAGGCAAGTTGGATATTGAAATTTTAGCATTACGGAATTAGTTGTAAGCTCATAAAAACCATAAATAGAAGCATTCATTACCACAATAACATTTTTTTCTCATAAAATCTATCTAATAATTGAATAAAGGAGTTAATAGATGAGTTGTATAAAAGAACTGAACAGAAAAATATCATATTTAAAAAGTAACACAATTTATATTTGAAGCCATTGTTAGATGTTTTTCTTCATGATTGCATATGTTTCGTTTTCTCCCAACTGCTTTTCCAAAATCCATAAAGCTTACATGGGTATTGTCTTCTCTTGTTTTCCATGCAAGTCAAACTCTTTTATGAATTCTAATAAATTCCATTATATTTCTTATTAGTTCTATCGATCTGGGCTTAATTAATTAGCCTAAACTTTTTACCATTAACTCAACAAGAACTTCATATTCTTCTTCTTTTCTTGATTCTATATGCAGTGATCTTACTTTTTTGTTTCTCATGTTTTATGCTGACTATATTTAGGAGGATTGAGTCTCATGTGTCCTTACTAACTGGTTTTCGTTAGTCATATTTTCAAAAGAATCCCCTACTAGCAGCTTGCTATATAATAATTTTCTAAGTAGAATTGTTGACTACGGATGTTCACTTAATTGTGCCTCAATAATAATTTCTTTTATCATATAAAAATAACAGTAAGGATGTTGTAATTTTATGTTAAAGAGCAAGAAAGCAGACATTACATTTCCCCCTTTATCTTCCCTTTCCTAGTTGTAGGCTGGTTTATTGTATTGTCAAGCTTCCCTAACTACAGTTATGTTTCTTGCCCTCAAGTACAGCTGCTCTTTTCCATTGAATGAACACAACTGTACTGAATGTGCCTCTTATACTATCAAGAGCTCATTAATAGCAAGTGGCCATGTGATATTCAATCACAGTGCACATACATATATATCAGTTGCATCAATATCATTAAAAAAATCATCTTAATAGCTATCCACATCTAAATTGATCACTAATCATAGAATATTCGCAATATAATTTTCTCAAAATGAAATAATTTTCGCTAATCTATTTTGTTTGTAAGTTCCATTTGCAAGACTATACATGCATCTCAATTTTCAGAAGTAAATTATTATTATATGATTCTAGAATTTAAAAGTATAGGGAGTGCTTCTGGTTCTTTTAGTTAGTATCTCCATTGGTGGAATCTAACCAGTAGATCACTTATATACATAATTAGAATATTAATTTGAATCCACACCATAAAATTTTGCGAGATATTTTTCTCTTTAATTTTCTTGATAATATTGCTAGTTACGTCATGCGGATTGCAACAAAAAAAAAACTCTAGGCATTATATGGATCTTTCTATAAAATAAAATTTGTAGAATACGTAAATGCAATCAACACTCTAATCTGACACACGTAACATAAAAAGAATTGATAAATCACAGAATATTATTTTTCTTCTCTCATGTCCTTTTCCCCCTCTAATTTACAGTGGGCACATTTTCCTCACATCCATTTCGGGCTCTCTCTCGATGAAAATAAGCAATCAAAGCTTGATGATGCAATTGCCACTGCACATGGAGGAGGACAAAAATCTCAGGTTTTATACTGAGAAGGAGTATATAAAAAGTATGCATGCCTATAGAGTACATGCTACTATATTCATATGTCAACTGAACTTGAATTATTCAAGTCAAATTAAGTATTAAGTCCCAGAAATTTCCATAAAGGTAAACTATAACTATTTCCTATGTATCTTCAGTTTCATTTGTTGAAATAAATTGATGTCTTAGCATATGTTTGCTGATCTCCTGCAGAGTTAAATTAATGTCTTTGATGAAATTTCTCATCCAGCTTTTACTGTCAAGTTTGTCATCTCCTGGCATGCAAATCATTTACGTAAGCAGTTAGCTAGGGTCTGCGCTGGCGATTCTATGAACTAGGTCCTATCTCACAACGAGTAATTAATTGCCACATAGACAGTTAGAAATCAGTTGTAGTGTGATGCCTACTATCTTGAAGTCATTAATTATAATTGTCATTTACTATTAGATGACTGTATATTGAACTAGACTTTTCTTCTACCTACATTAATTAGCAACGTGGAAAACTAGTAACCTTCAATAATGCTGCAAAGAAGTTTTGGCAAAATAGCTAGCAATTTTTCAAACATTATTTTCAAAAAGTAATAGTAAATGGAACTGGTTAGAACAATATTATTTTGTGTGATTATCTTTCAGAATATAACCTGCATCATACGTAATTCTAACATGAATTGGTGAATATAACCATTATTTAACCATCTTTTGAGTTTTGGTGTGCTGAGGAGCCTTTGAGATAGGATCTGAGAGCAACCCGAGTTTAATTCTCAATAGCCATGTGTTTAAGGTGGAGTTTAAAATAATTAATCGATAACATTGTGTGAATCAATGTTTCGGCTTACAAAAAGAGCACTCAATCTGCAAAGGCATGTTAGCACATTAAATTATAACCGTCAACTTTCACCATAGGCTTCATAGTTTCAATGTAGTGACAAGAGACCTTTAATTACCGGGAATGCAAACTACGAAGGAGAAATAACAAATAATAATAATAATAATAAAGAAAAATCTCTTCTTTTATACCATATGTTTTCTAGTAAATGATTATCATTTATTAAACTTCATACAAAAAACCAGTTTTTTATTGGTATACCTCTAATTTTTCATTATTTTATGCAAGAGCGTCATTGACAAATAAAAAAATTGTGTCATATAACTATTATGTATGTATATAAGTAGTTTCTTCTTGCAGCTTCCCCCCGCTAAAATTTTTTTGGTCAATGAGAATTATTTTTCATTCAAACCAAAATGAGAGTTATGTACATCAAGTTCTCATATTTGAGAAATCTAAAAACAAATGAAATCACTTACAGCCTAGGGAAACTCCCCAGAACAAATCAATATCTACAAAGAAATAACCCAATCCCTGTTTTCTGATTGAATAGGACTATTAAGGACTGGGATTAATATGTCCATCTTAATCTCATTTACCAGCTGTTCGATCCCTTTTGAAGTCTGTGAGAAAATCCTGGCATTTCTCTCACACCATATTTTGTAAAGAGTAACCGAAAAAGCCATCCTCTTGATCCCCTTCTTGAATCCTCTACCCCTTAAACAATTGTTAAACCAATCCATTAGATGGCTCCAACTACAAGATCTCCATTTAAACTTGAGCCAACACATAATCCTGCACCAGACATTCTGTGAATACTCACAGTCAAAAAATAGGTGATCGCGATTCTCAGGTCCTGCTCCTTGACATAAACAGCAACTATTCGATTGAATAATTCCCATCATCAATAATCTGTCTTGAGTCAATAGCCTATTCTGAACAGCAAGCCAGCAGATAAACGAGTGCTTGGGGTAGTTCATTTTCTCCCATACAGTGTTAAACCATGGAACTTGAGGAACAGTGGGGGATAAAGCTTCATACAGGGCAGAGGTCTTAACTTTTGAATTTTTGTAGCAGGAGCCAATGACTTGTTTCAAAATATCAATACCTCCAACTAAGACAGCAGCTCTATCTCTGGATTTAATTAGCTGCTTCCAAAGCCAGGAATCCCCAGATTTTGCATTAACAAACCATATGTCAGTATTCTTCAAATATTTTCCATGAATCCACTTAATCCAAAGGAGTTCCTTATTCAAATGGATATACCATATATTCTTCAAAGCAGCTGCAAGATTCCATAATCGAGCTGAAAAAATGCCAAGACCTCCAGATTTTTTAACGCGACATATTTTTCCCCAAGCTATTAATGATGGTTTTTGAGAATGCTCAGTACTCCCCCAAAGGAAATCTCTGCAAATGCCATCGATTTTTTGAAGCACACCAACAGGCAGGATGTAACAGGAAGTCCAGTATATTTGAACACCCAAGATGACACTTTTGATAACTTGTAATTTCCCCGCATATGACAGATTTTTAGATTTGGACCATAACTGAATTTGATTGCTGATTTTGTTAAGAAGAGGGTTGCAATCTGAGTATGATAATCTTTTACAAACAAGAGGCATCCCCAAGTATCTAATAGGCAAGGAACCCTCAGCAATACCCAATAACTCTTTAATAGATACTTTAGTAGCTTCATTTACCCCACCAAAGAAAATATGACATTTATCTGAGTTTGGTTCCAGACCAGTAACAGAGCTAAAATCTTTCAAGCACTGATTGAGCTTAAGAACTGAATTCAGATCACCTTTGCTAAATAATAACAAATCATCAGCGAAGACCAGGTGGGAAATCTTGAGCTTTCTGCACATTGGATGAAAATTGAATTGCCTATCATTTTTCAACAGGTCCAAGCTCCTTGAGAGATACTCCATACCAAGGATAAATAGGTAGGGAGAAAGGGGATCCCCCTGCCTAAGGCCTCTTTTCCCTTTAAAATACCCATGTAGGGAGCCATTAAGGGAGATAGAATATGATGGAGAAGAGATACAGGTCATTATCCAGTCCACCATTTTGTTTGGAAACTGAAGACCCAGTAACATTTCTTTTATAAAGCACCAACTGATAGTATCAAAAGCTTTTTTGATATCTATGCTGAGCATAACTCTTGGGGAAACTGATTTTCTGCCATAATTCTTGATCAATTCATGAGCCAGTAAAATGTTGTTGGTGATTTGCCTACCCTCAACAAATGCGCTTTGAGCATCATTTACTATAGAACCCATAACTGTTCTAATCCTATTCGCTAGGATTTTAGATATGATTTTGTAAAGAACATTGCAACAAGAGATGGGTCTAAAATCTGAAGGAGAAGTAGGACTTTTGGTTTTAGGGATAAGTGAGATAGAAGTTGAGTTAACCATACCTAGCAACTTGCCAGTTCTGAAGAAATCCGCAATAGCTTGAGTAACTTCATCTCCAACAATACTCCAAGAAGATTTGAAAAATGTAGCACTGAAGCCATCTGGTCCAGGAGCTTTATTATCTGGCATGGAAAAAATAGCATTTCTGATTTCATCATTAGTGATTGAGGCAATCAGAGAACTGGCCTGAGAATCATCCAGACATGGCCCTGAGTGAATAATATTGATATTTGGAGAAGTAGTATCCATTGCAGTCCCCATCAGGTTTTTAAAATGAGATATAAACTCGTTAACAATATCATCACCTTCTGTTAGTCTTTGTCCCAAGTTATTGTATAGGATCATAACTCTGTTTTGATGCCTATTAGCTTTTATCATTGAATGGAACAGTTCAGTACATCTGTCACCTTGTATACTCCAATCAGTTCTTGCTTTTTGCTTGTAGAAGGATAATTCACAATCCATTAAGGTGTTGTATTTAGATATACAGACCTTTTCCTGTTTAATAAACTCAGGAGACATTGGGTCAGATTGTAAATTTTTTTGCACATCCTCCAAAGCTTGCTTTGCATGATAAACCTGTTCACTGATATTATAGAAGAATTTCTTATTTATTTCCTTCAGAGCAATCTTCAAAGTTTTCAGTTTAGAGCAAACTGAGAACATGGTACATCCTTTGACCCTTTGCTGCCAGATATTTGCTACTGTGGGGAGGAAACAAGCATGTTTAGTCCACATCTTAAAAAATTTGAAAGGTCTCTTGCCCTGATAGCTGTCTTCACTGACTGTAATGATCCCAGGGGAATGATCTGAAATTTTTGGTAATAAAAATTCCACTTGGCTAGAATTGTAATTATGAATCCAATTATCATTTGTCAAAACTCTATCCAATCTACTCCAAATCCTTGATCCATGATCCTGTTTGTTGTTCCAAGTATAAAAACATCCAATGTTTTTCAAATGTTCCAACTGACAATCATTAATGAAGTTTCTGAAATCCTCAGTTTCAGAATCTTGAAGAACACTACCTCCAATTTTCTCTTCATTGCTGATAATAGCATTAAAATCCCCAAATAAGAGCCAATGAGTATTTCCAACAGTTTGATGGATAGACTTTAATTCTGACCACAATTCTTTCCTTTTTTCCATTTGATTGAAGCCATAGATAGATGAGATTATACAGTCTAGTTTACCACCAAGAGATTTCACTGTGCATGTGATACATTGGTCAGAAGAACTGAACAGTTGTATATTTAATATATTTGGATTCCATAGGATAATAATTCTGGCTTTACCAGGACTTCTAACATTTGACAACCAGCTCCAGTCTTTAGCAATAAACCTGGTAGTTTTTGATAATAGGGAATCTTTGATCTTTGTTTCCAGTAAAGCAATAAAAGAGATATGGTATTGCCATAAGTGGTGCTTAACAATTTTTTGCTTTGAGGGTCTATTCAGCCCCCTCACATTCCAGAAAGATAGGTTCATCAGTTGAAAGCACCCCCTCTATCCACTGTAGAAGGGTCCAAATCAAAAAGCTCAAGTTGGGAGAACTGATTCTCTGGAGTAAACTTTTTCCTCTGTTTATTACCTTGAACTAAAGTCCAAGAGTTGTTAGAATAGGGAGAATGAAAAGCACCTTCAGAAACTGTCTGCTGTGCATGTGCACCATGCACCAGACTGTGCACCCCTCTTAAACCAGAGAACTGAGGAATGTTTTCAATTCTGCTAATTTGCACTTCTTGTTCATCATGAAGAGAATTCTTAGGGGACAATTCTTTCACAGTCATTTGCTTTTCAAACCTTTCTTGCATTTTAGTATCCTGAGATTTTTGCACTGACAGGTCTATGGTGGAAGCATTCCCATCTGGCCTTTGTAATACCGAATTAAGAATATGCACTGATTTATTTGGAAGAGCAGTTGAGGATGATGTTTGAATATTTGGAATAT